TAGTGATGTTCAGAAGCCCAGAGCCTTTCACATGCAGGTAAATGAAACCACCAGTTGGTGGAATGTGGATGAGTAAAGGCCTTTGACTTTTAGGGCCTATGTGTATAGATATATGCCATTAACCTACTGCATATGCTCATTACTAGACTAAGTATAGCAGCAATGGCTTTTCCTGGTCCTTTAAGTGACTACACTTAAGCCTGATTCCTATTTCTCTGAGAAACCCCCAGCCAAATTCGTACTATGATTTGGGCAGGTATTTTGCTTCTCAGCCTTTACTGAGACACATTTCCTCAGGCTGATCTCATAGCTACTGTTTTTCAGGGAAGATACAAGGCACCATCTTGACTTCTTACTGTTATTAAATGTCACGCAACAGTATTTGCAAAGGAAGAGGTGTCCTCGCTCCTCATTACAAAGCCTTGCTACATTTTCTAAGTACAAATGGACTGTGGATGAGATGACAAGCAGTAATCCTGCCTCAGCACAAGACAGGTCAGTATTTTGGGAGCAATCTCCTCCAGGATGGTTTTGTTTAGAAAATTGCTTTGTATTCCCACACACCAGGGAAAACATAGATTCCTACTCTAATGTGTAAGCCAAGACTCTTGAGTCCTGTGTCGCTGGGGGAACAGTAAAGATGGCAGTGGCTTAGAAATGCTGATACCTAAAACATGGAGCTTTTAGCCACTGGTGGAGGGGCATACCCCACTTAAACTTTGTTTTCTCCTCTGCTCTGTCAAATTTCTCCAAGAAAATCGTACTTTATGTCTCAATTTCTGAAAGCAATACAAATTTTCTATTTGGGCATATTTTTTTTAATTGTACTTTGTTAAATGAAAAATGCTTCCATCTAGAGTGAAACAAAATGAAGTTTTGAGTTATTACATGCTTTTGGTTTCTGTCTCCTCTATAAGTACCTTATTTTCTCCAGTCATATTCAAGATTTCAGGCTAGGATCACCACAGTCTCTTATATCACGTTATTTTCCTACCATGAAGTTGTTTATGTGTATTGTTTACTCAACAGACATTTCTCTTTCACTTGGTATATTCATAACTAAATAATTCTGTGAGAAGATACAGGCCACTGGTTTTTTGCAATTTGCATCCCCATACTCAAAGCTGTGTTGAAAGCAAAGCTCTTTGGTCCTTTCGTTTTGGAAGTACATTAATATTTCTATGACCTTTACTAGATGGCAGATGAGAAGCATTAGGAATAAAATAACAAACAAAGCAAAGGAAACCAATTTTTTAAAATGCGTATTTCTGAAAGGAGCAACAGGGAAAAGAATCTAGTCTAAAACCCCGTGAACTTTAGCTACAGTTATGCTAATTGTTTTATTGTAGTCTATTTTTCCAAGTCCAAATGTTTCTTTATGACCAATCCATTCAACATAATGCAAAAATTTGAAGGGGTTTAGTAGCTATAGATAAAAAAAAATATATAGATATTTAGAAGGAAAAGAATAGTTTAGGACATGTTTATTTTTTGAGTATATTGAAGCGATCATATTAAAAACATCATCACTATGCTAACAACTACTTAGTGCAAAATGACTTCAAATCATTTGACTTTCAAAGCCTGTTAGTTATAAAGAGAAGTTCTGTGAAACAAGCTGCAGATGTAGTAACTTTCTGTGCGGTGTAAAAGCTCTGCCTTAGGTGGCTACACTTTCCGAAGCCTTTAGAAGACTGCAGAAGGAAAACGAACTAACTCCTACCCAGGAAACCATTTCTCTCACAGCAGCGTTGTTTTTCAGTGGTTTTATTACACCGGAAGCCAACTCTGTTCCTGTTCATCTCTGTGTCAATGCCATAACTCAAAGGAACAGATCCAAAAATGATTTTTAGTGACTTGAAGTTTGACTGCTTTCTGAACACCGTGTGTAGATTAACAACATCTATGATTCAGCAAGGCATTTAACAGATGGAAAGCAGAAGCTGTCCCATGAAGTAAAGGATTTGTTCACTTGTTTCCAACTGGAGGCAAAACTGAGATTCTTCACCAGCAACCCTCTTTCAGATACTTTATGTCATATACTTGATATGGTGTGCCACAGTATCAAATAAAAGGATATTCTAGGTGGGGGGGGTTATTTCTCTTTAGGGTAGTATGAAAGAGCCAGAAAATTGTAAAATAGCAATAACCAGTTCACCATACCATTAATCACATGAATCTAGGAATCAGATTAAATCAAGCGGTGCTATTTATGAGATTAACATGATGAGTTCCTTCTGTCTTTACTACCAAGAGCAATGCTAGTGCAGCCAGTAGAAATAGGGATAGGCTTTACATTGCAAATGTCACTTATTTTTTAATTATTACTTTTATAAGTTTTTCTGTGTCAATACATGAAAATTTTTCCTCCTTGAAGTTCCAGGGAATACTATCTTACAATTTTAGGATCAAAACATAGTTTTGCTAAAATCATAAGAATTACTTAATAGGAAAAATAGTTTGGAAACATGCTTTTTGTTGTTTTAATTAAGTGAAATGAGGAACTTCTTTATAGTTTGGGTACAAGCATTTCCCTTCCATTTGCTTTCTAAGCCCAAGAGCTTATTGCTCTTTGTTCAATTTTTCAGAGAAACTGAAAGTAACTAGAAACTGATTTTCAAAAAATACCTTTCCTCCCCACTGTTTATTTTTTTATAAATATCCTCAGCTTGATCTAGCAATATGGAGAAGTATAAACAATCCTTACATTTTTTTTAATAGTTTTGGTTTATCTAGAGGATTTCTGACACCCAGCTTTCACTCATTAGATGTAGAGATTCTATCTCTTAACCAGTCTGTAAAGTCAGAGAAAATAATGCTGAGTTACCCAGCTGAGGACCTGACCCATTCTAAACACAGCTCCCATCTCCCTAAGGTTATTATGTTTTAATTATGCCATGTGTAAAATATTTTTATACGCAAAGCAACCAATCTGAACTTACTCAAGCGATGGCATCTGTTTTTTCAGCCAATGTTCTTAGCCCACTGCTGGTTTAAAATCTAATCACTTTTCATTTGCTAGTTTGAATGGAATTTAAGTTTCTGTTCAAGAAACAGCCTGTGAAGCTGCACTGCAAAAAGTCAGTTTCTACATTCTTACCCAAAGTCAGATCACTCCCTTTGCACTGCACATTTAGAGCTCTGAAAGATTTCATTGGAATCCTTCTCAAGTATACAACATTGCCTTTGTAACCAGTAATAAATTTGGAACTATTTTTATAGGGTACATAATAATTCAATAGGATATAATAAGTCAAATCTGCAAGAGACTACATTTTCAACCAAAATATTCACTGACTTGTATACATACAAGTAGCTTCAAAACAGACAAGCACAGAAGGCAAAGGCAAGTTGTATCCTTCCTGTCCCTGTACACATGCTTTAATTTTGCATGTGTACACATAAGTTCTAATTTAATACACTGAGCGAAACTGATCAGACAAGAGCATCTCTTAAAAAAACCCAACTTATATCCATTATTTGTTCACAATGATAATACAGAAAGCTATAAGTGATACAGTTTCTGCGTTGGTCAGACGTATCAAGAACTGCAGGATAAACAATCTGCTACAGTCCTATTAGAAGTGATACACCTTACTGTCAGTGTTTGTGTTGCATGGCTGCCATCTCACATTCCCTAGGGGCTTTTATATCCTCTCTGGCTGAGATTTGCAAAGCAATGTCAGGGATTTGAATGCTCTGTTCCCATTATTGTTGCTGAGGATCTAACCCTCATGTTAGTTCTTTCTGCAGATTTGCTGTCTTCTGGCTCTGTGGTTTATGTAATCTTAGAGAAAGCCCTTAAGTGGCTATGGGAAAGCTATTTCTTAGAAACATGTTGCATACATATATACCTCAAAAGCCTGTAGAGTAACAGAGCAGGAATATAGATGATTTGAATACTAGAGACTTCAAAACAGAATCACAGAATGATAGGTCTTGGAAGGGACTTCTGAAGATCATCTAGTCCAGCCCTCCTGCCAGAGCAGGATCACCTATAGTAGGTCACACAGGAACGCGTCCAGGCGGGTTTTGAAAGTCTCCAGAGAAGGAGACTCCACAACCTCCCTGGGCAGCCTGTGCCAGTGCTCTGTCACCCTCACAGGGAAAAAGTACTGTTTCATGTTTAGGTTGAGCCTCCCATTTCTCAGTTTGTGACCATTGCCGCTTATCCTGTCACTGGATACCAATGAGAAAAAATATTTCTGAGCAAGCTGCCAGGCTGTCCAAATATAAACTATTTGGACTACTTTGGTACCATGAGCCCAGCAAAACTCCCTGACATACAAATTCACACTTGGTCTTCTCTTTCTCAGGGATGCAACTTCCTCACATTGTCCACAAGAACATCAGAAAATAATGCTGAGACAAAGACTTATGTATTGGCCCTCTACTGTCCCTATTTAACTGCTTTCAGATTAAGCATAAAAGAATTTAAGCATGAATGCAAGCCACGCAGTCTTAATTAGCCTCCAGACCAGAGAACATAACCTGGTTCCTCCTATTCGCTACTACACACAGAGCCAGCTCAGGCAAAGATTAAAATCTGACTGTGTCATTTAACCACCTTTGCAAGGCACATCTAGAACAGTTGGTGAGAATGGCTACTGCTCTGTAATGTGTTTTTTTTAGTTAATAAGTTTACATGTGTGTTCACATGTGCGTGTATGTACACACACACAAAATGTTTATGTCAATGGATGGAACAGCTACAGCATTATTTTTGACCTCATTTAACAAGGCAATGCAGTTCAGAGAACAAGTTTCAAGCCTTTGACTTACAACTCCCCTTGTTTTTAATATTGTTTTAACTGTCAAGGCTAGTAAGTCATAAATATGAGACTAATGTAATGAAGACTACCACAAACACCCACTTCTATGTTATTTCATTTTTGTCCCGTATTTAAAGTATCCATACATCTTCACACAGTTCCTTCTTCCTCACTGTCAGACACTGAGGCTCCTGAGAGTACAAAGGATTGGCACTTTCTAAACTGTACTAGTTTCTTGTTCTGTCTTGCTGAAGGATTTCTGAGGACTAACAGGAGTCACCACTTGAGAAAAAGGTTCCTGGTAATTATACTGAGATGAGCTTTGGTGTTCTGTTATGTATGTAAAATCATACAAAGACAGAGGAAAAAAAGTCTTAAAATACCTTCTCATATTGCCAAACACTCTCTCTTCTTCCCTCTCAGTATTTTCTTCATACAGTTATGCCCATTAGCCTCCAAGAATATTAATAATTTGCAATATTCCATAACACTAGAATCAGCCCACTTAAGAACGATGGTGGCAAATCTTCCTAAGAATTCTAAATCTCATTTTAAATAAGATTTAGTTTAGTTTCTGGATGCATTTAACAGTCTGAAAGACAGATCCCTACAGCAGCTGCAAGAGATGTATGTTCTGCCTCTTGTCTCTTTTCAGCCTTTCCTGGACACACACAGAAGCTTCACAACCAACCTGCACACTATCTGTGGGGAACTGCCATGGGCATGCTAAATGCATTCAAGCACATAAGGGTCTGTGGTGCCTGGAGATGATGCTGGAGTTTTGGCTTTCAAGCTAAAAACCACTTTGCTGGTACCACAGCATGTCTGCTTTAGATGCCCAGTCCTCATCGTACAAAATACTGGGACGGACATCAGAAAAAATGGTGGGGACAGTATAGGAGGGAACAATTTATGCTAGACTTCTGATAGTCTTCTAAACTTGTACAGGAAGAGGTGGTATAAATAATCTTATACTTATAACCCAAGTTAGTGTAGTCCCTCTACTGCAAAACACCTAATCAAAAGCAAGGCTGACACAGAACTGACCACAGAGCCTTACGCTCACTGTCTCTCCAAATAAAATATTTCCTTTTGACCTAAAGATTCCTTCTGAAATCTCCAAAGCAAGAGGTTGAATGGGTGCAACCCTTCTCTTGAAAATCAAACTACATCTAGTATTAACTTATATTAACTATGGCAAGGCCAAAGAATTTCCATATAACTCATTGCGCAAATAGATTTGTGTTTTCTGGGTAGTGATGGACAGTTCATTTAAACACAAAATAAACCACAAAACACATAAAACATTTCTTCCTATGCAAAAGCTAAACAACGCTCCCAAAACTTAATTTCACTAAAGGACTTTGAAACCTAATTTTCTGACTTTGCCTTGGGATTACCTGGAAATTAAAATACAATAAAAATACATCAATAAAACTTGACATATAAAAATACTATTCATATCTGAAGATGAAGAAACCATACTTCTTCTGTTCTATATCCTAACACAATCCTGCTGAGTTCAAAATGCTTAAAAAAAGGTATAAAGGACTTTGTCCCATATACTGTGGAAGCTACATGCGACAGAAACAGTAGTTGCATGCTGCCTGGTTTATTTGATATTGCTGATACTTTTGACAGGAACATTTATTAGACCATGTTAGCAATAGACAAAAGACTCCATCTAATACCCATAATTGTCTTCAGAAGACTGAGGGTATATTGCAGACATGTCAAATAAAGAAGCTATAAAAACATCCACTGCATACGATCACTTGCTACTCTCTGAGAAATTATTACAGTGATGGCTTGAGAATGATCAGAGGAAAAAAGAGGGATCATCATTTTAAAAAGAGCAAGAATGAGATCACATGCTACATGAAAAGCACGCAGAGCTGAACTGGGGTAGTCTGGCCCCAAACTCCAGGAATAAACTCCTGTCTTCACCTCTCTGCTACAGTACAGCTTGACTTGTGACCACTGATATCAGCAGATGTTTTATCACTTATTTTACAAAAGGAAAGAATCAAATGTTAAGCATCTCTTTTATGAGCATCACTAACTAATGTAGGGAGTCCACAAGTAGGCCCAGAAAAAGTAAAATACAGTTTTGCTACCAGGGTTACTACTCTCAGGGGAATAAATGCAACACTTTCACTCAGAAGAAGGCTGTTAAAACCTGATCTACAATATCTGGGTATGATTTTGTATGCTATCTGTTTTCTACATAGCCTTCTTCAAAAAAGTCTGAGGATCTGTCCTGGTTCTGGAAAGCATCCATTAGCACAGAAATAGAACCTTGTTCTTGCTATTTGCTAAAAACCAAGAAAATTCATCTGCTATGAACTATACCCACAGTTAAAACTGTATAAAGTAACAGATGTGGAAGTAACAGATGTGTTTTCCTTTCTTAAATCACAGAGGCACTCGTCTTTTTGCACTAAAATCAGGTGTCTATCTGAAGTCTGTCAGTGATCTTTGCTAAGATGCATTTGCCTTTTTGTCTGTGACATTTATAAGCAAGTTAGGCTACTCCAGCTTTATTAGCCTACAGAGACTGTTGTACCTTTCCATTCCCTGTCAACAACAAGCTGTGGCTACAGGTGACTGCCTCTTTTCTAAGTATAACCACTAGAAAAAAAAAGAACAAAGGTTAGCTGATGGAGGACAGCAAAAATGGAAGTCAGTGCATTTTGCACAATGATGGAACACCTGAAGAGGTGAATTTGTTAAAAGCCAGGCAGATTCCTAAAGATCTTCAAGACTTCTCTGGATACTTTCATTAGCTGAAAAATAAATCAATGTGCTGTGAATAGAATCCTAAGGCTACTGGAACAGTTTAATGGAAGATAAAAATCTCAGTAAAACATGGAAACCTAGAATAGTGTCATCATGTCCTAGATCATTACAGAAAACAAGAAACAAAATCTAAAACACAAAATCACAAAGGAGAGAAGGGAAGGGGAAACAATTGTTAAGCAATTCTGAAGCTACCGGGAGAAAGCCTAGGTTGGTCCTTCGCCAGTGCCAGAAGCTCTTTGTGCTAACAAAAAGAAAAGGAGTTTTCAGCAGTTCTGAAGTGTCCGGCTCTTTGGAAACAAGTGTTAGACACATAAATACTTATACTGGCCCATAGATCTAACAAGCCTTGTAGCCACAACAGCAATGTCGGAGTATGGTGATTTCATAGTCACAGGGTCCTTAGCTGCATTGGTTTAGGGTCATGGTGTGATTTCACCTCTCACTGCCTTCTAAGTAAGACCATTGACTTTTAACAACTACTTTTGTATAGCAAATACCCATTTCATTGCCAACACCAATTTGGAAACACAACACCACAGTTTTTATTTTGGGAATTGTTAATTTTGACATTCATGGGCCTCTTTCAAAACACACACAGATCAGTCAAGAAAAAAAAAGTCACTTAAACCACGACTTAGCAACGACAGCTAAAAAACAATTTCTCAGTGTACAAATAATCCACATTTAGAAACTGTGATTTCCCTCTGTGTTAAGGTACCTTCCCAATACATACCTTATGATGAGCAAAAAAAAATTTTAAAACCTCAGAAGGATTTCAGATTAGCCTAACAGTAATGTGGTCGGATCCAATCCCAAGTGTTCTATATTTTTTAAGCCAATGGAATGGCATCTTACTACTTAATTGTTCTTTAACTAAATAAATACAATTAGGTTTTCCCCTTTAATCTTTCTGAACAAGCTGAGAAATATACTTCATACCTACCCATGCATTCGTGCAATTATTGATGGGGATGTTGATGAAAGATTAGAATTTGCTGGGTGAGTTACTGACCAATGAACCTTGCCAGTGTATCCAGGGATATTTGAAGTGCTAAAGGAAAAAGTAAAAGGGGGGTAGGGGAGTGGAGAAAGGGAAAATTAAATGGCTATAGGCTTGAAATATGACTTATAGATCAGTTCTAAAATAGCTAGTGTTTATCAAAGATAGATGGGGTAAAATGTCTTCACAATATAAAAAATGGTCCTTAGAATGTCTGAACAGGCATAGCTTCATAAGCAAAATAACTTTATGATGATCTAGCTGATTATCCAACCCAAAATCTTTGGTTAGATATAGCAAGAGCGAGCTCTCTAGTGAGTTTTCCTTTTTCTTTTTTTTTTTAATTTTCCTCCAGCCATTTAGGTTGAATATCTGTATGATACGATTACAAGCAACATTTAATCTCAAAGAAAAAGTGGGATCACAGGGTTAGTATTGAGCACAAAAAGAAATTAAATACTCGTTATAAATGTGATTTAATCTTAGCTTATATTTAGGTTCCAGTTTCAAGTACGGAATTTAGGCAGAAGGCTTTAGGCCAACAGATGTGATTTCTCCTGGCTTAAAACACAAACGATTTCCCAAGTGATTCTACAATTCTCTAAATTTCCCCCCCCCCAGATTATTACAAATGTATTTACATGTATATGCAATATTAACACTGATTAGACACATCAACTTAAATTCTAGCTTGAGTACGCCGTGTGGACTGAGACAGTATGTGACACATCTTGGAAAAAGCCTTTTGTTAATTCTGCTAAGTTTTAACATGAAATTCAAAAAGTTATTTAAGGAGATGAAAGAATTCTACTTATCTGAACAACAGAAAATTCTGATAGCAGTTGCTCCAAGAGGAAGTAGAGATGCACAAAATTAAACAAAAAGAAAAGGTATTAATAGGAACTGAGAGATAATCTGTAAAGATTAAAAATAAAGAAGTATAACCCCTCAATATGACAGCTTTTTTTCAGTACAAAGTTGTTCTGAGAGTATCACCAGTACTGTTCTATGTTGACAACTCAAAATAGGACACTGCTGAATTATACATCTATCCAGACTGCTCACTGACATGGAGGTAAAAACAGCTTGTCATGAGCTCTATCCACTAAATCAGCTAAATACTTGGGGTTGTAAATCTTGCCTCCATTAGTTCTTTGTGGGTCTTCAGACCACATGAATAATAACAGTGCCTCCATTAAAATAATCTCTGAGGTATTTTTTGGTTCCCATGCACTCTGGGTAAAAATAAGCAGTTCCTTTAATTATAAAGTGCATACAACTATTAGTTTCATTACAGCTGACCAGCTAACTTCTCCACAACTAAGTTCAGCACAGAGTGCAAAACTGGACATATGTGCAAGACGTAGTTTACCAGAAAATGCTTTGACTCATGTACTAGGAAACTTGGCTGTGAAACTCCTCACCAGAATAGCAGAAATGCTGTATCTACCTAGCAGTTATTACAAAGGACTACAACAGGAGCACTGGCAGTATATGTTATGGTCTTTGCACCCACAGTTAGCATCTAGTTCTCTGTCTTATTTTGGAGCAGCCTTGCACTAACCCATACATTCACACACTGCTAAATTCCCTGGCTCATGCCCTAGTATATGACCCTCCAGAGAAGATGGCTTTCTAGAATCAGTACAGCAGTTTTGCAGCACTTTTTGAAGCTGTTACCTGTAAGGAATAGTCAAGTAGTTGGCTGAGCAAGTAATAAATCTGCTGTCTTGACAGCAGCCATGCAGGGGTGACAAGCAGGACTGAAAAATCTAGTACAGCAGTAGAACTTAATATCAGAATTGGCCAAAACTGCTTGCAGACAAATTTGCTTTTTCATGTCAAAGCAAACAAATGTTAGGTTACGTGCAAATTAAGTAACTGTAGAAAATTTCATCTGCATATGCAGAGATCCTACCGAGGGTCACAATGGATATTAGGGGCGTGTGAGTATAAGCACATGCATTCATCCAAATCTGAAAATGTGACATCACTTTGAAGGAACCACCCAGACTGCAAACAGAGTTTTATTATCCTGGTGACATGCTACATACCATGCAATAAAGAAATACCATTGCCTGCCTTCAAATTGTATGAGCATCACAGAGAAGATAAGGAGATCACAAGGAGCCCCATATTAACTTGCAACATTTTACAAGCTTGTTTGGCGTTAACTCATGTAATAACTATACAACTGTGCAGATATTTTCATGGAATCATAGAATGGTTTGGATTGGAAGAGACCTTAAAGATCATCATGTTACCAACTCCCTGCCATGGGCAGGGACACCTCTCTCCCACTATACCAGGTTGCTCAAAGCTCCAATCCAACCTGGCCTTGAACACTTCTAGGGAGGGGGCTTCCACAACTTCTCCGGGCAACATATTCCAGTGCCTCTGCATCCTCACAAAACAGATTTTTCTCCTAATACCTAATCTGAATTTGTCTTCTTTCAGCTTGAAACAGTTACCCCTCCTCCTATCACTACACTCCCTGATGGAGAGTCCCTCCTTGTCCTCCCTGTAGGCCCACTTTAAGTATTAGAAGGCCGCTATGAGGTGTCTCTAGAGCCTTCTCTTCTCCAGGCTGTTTCCCAACTGTCTCAGCCTGTCCTCATAGGGGAGGTGCTCTAACTCTTCATCATTTTCGTGGGCCTCCTCCAACATGTCTGTGTTCTTGTGTTGGGGACCCCAGAGCTGAACGCAGTACTCCAGGTGAGGTCTCATGAGAGCAGAGCAGAGGGGGAGAATCATCTCCCTTGATCTGTTGGTCACACTCATTTTTTTGATGCAGTCCAGGATGCGATTGACTTTCTGGGCTGCAAGCACACATTGCTGGCTCATATTCAGTTTTTCATCCACCACCACTCCACGTACTTCTCCGCAGGGCTGCTCTCAATCCACTCATTGCTCAACCTGTACTGGTGCTTTGTATTGCCCTCACCCAGGTGCAGGACCTCGCACTTGGCCTTGTTGCACTTGATGAAGTTTGCATAGGCCCACCTCTCAAGCTTGTCAAAGTTCCTCTGGATGGCGTCTCTCCCCTCCAGCATGTTACCCACACCACATGGCTTGGTGTTATCCTCAGACTTGCTGAGGATACACTGTCCATGTAACCAACAAAAATGTAAAATAGTCATGGTCCCAATACTGACCCCTGACTCATCACTGGTCTCCACTTGGACAGTGAACACAACTCTTTGAGTGTGATCATTCAGCCAACTCCTTGTTCACCAAGTGATCATGTGTTAAATACATGTCCTTCCAATTTAGAGACAAGGACATTGTGTGCAAGTGTCAAATGCTCTGCACAAGTCAAGGTGGATTAATAGAATTAGAATACATTATGCACTGTGAGACACCTGAGTGATAAAATCTAACCTTTAAAACTTGCAAAACTAGAAGAAAAGAGAAAAGCATCATAAATGGCCAAGCATGACCCAAAAATCAAGCCTGAGAGATGACCCAAGATGAAGACTTACTCTAGGCTGTCAGTTAGAAAAGACTGACAGAATTTGGTATATTCATAATGTGTGAAGGGTGTGGTTCTGAAAGAGAAGAGAGATGGGCAGAGAGAAGCTAAAAGTACTAGGACCGTAAGAAAGCTTACAATACAGTAAAGCAGCTGCTCTCCTGGGAACCTGCAAAGAAGATGCAAAAATATGCTGTGGTTATGTATGTGATAAAGCAGAAGAAACTGAGGTTAAAAAATACCCGTTTGGTTTTTTGTTTTTGGATCAGGCTGTCTAGCTCGTGTTTTCTCCAATGAGCAGCTAAACCAGATTGGCGCTGCTAAAGAAAACAACCAAGTGCCAGGCTACCACGGGGCAACATATGAAACTCTGTGGTTATGCTGTCGTCATCAAGCTTTCTTTGTGTAACACATCTCTCTTGTTCATACGCTTCCTTGTTATCATGCTAGCAGCTCTTATTCCTAACAGTAAGAAACATGCAGTGTTGCTAATTGAATCTGTGCCAGCTCTAAGATTTTTCAGTGGATAGTAATGATTCCAAGTGCCTCTGCTTTTTGTATCTCAGGATGTCTTTGGAAATTTTTATTTCCTGGTAGTGTTCAGGAAAAACAGCAAGGAATTAATTTAGCTGAATGCCCATACTGACATTTGGAGCTATTTGAGATGCCTTAAGGTATCCGAGATAACTCCCTGTAGCACAGAACCTGCAGGAGATCCATACCATACCGAAGCAGCAGCTGGAAGTGATAGGCTAGGGCGTCTCCAGGGCATCAGATGCCCTTGTTTGCCATGTAAATTCTATGTCAACTGTTTATATGGAACCAAAATCAAGATTCCCACAAATACTTTGTAATTATTGAAAACACTGGATTTAGCACTTCAGCTTGAGTGACTGTGGTATCCACATTCTTTTTGCAAAAAATTCTGACTAGTGAAAGCTATCCAGTAGATTACCTTGCCCTTATGAGCAAAGAGTTCCTAATATCTTACTCTTTCTTAGAAACTCTGTTGCACAAATCTCTTAGAACTACATCAAGGGAATTAAGTCATTAACTACCTTTTTTTGTTACTGTAATTATAAGACAGGCCTCTTGGGTCACACTCACAGTACATAAGACTCCCTAATTGGCTTCCCTCTCAAATTCCCTTCCAGAAAGACTGACATTTCACATATTTGGTGGCCCTTTCACCCCATGATCCTACTTGCCAAGCAGAATAACCTGTGGTAAAAATGCCTCAGATGCGATCCTACATCAGCAGACTCAATGCTTAGTCTCTTGTGTTGGGAAAGAACATACCTGTGAGAACTTGTGAAGTCAAAACAAGGTGCCCCATGCAGAGAGAGGAGTGGGACCAACAGGAGTTTTCAACAGAGCATTCTGGATTGCATTTCATACACTTACACCTCAGTCATCAAAGCGGGATAGGTAATGGGTATTTACAAATTGATTTGGTAAACAGATAAAAACATCAAAATGGTAATTCCACAGAAATATTTTGTATCATGTTGTACTGGAACATTTTGTTTCTACAACTTCAAACTATTTTACTCCGCTTCCCGCTTTTTCAACCCCTCTT